GGAAACCCCCTTCATGTTAGCTTTCGGTATTGAAGCCACCATCCCTATTGAAGTCAGGTTGCCCAGCCAAAGAAGACTTGAGCCCAAAGATGTAGGGCGCACCACTGAACACCTCGACCTCTTGGAAGAGGTTCGCAATTTGGCAGCTTTAAGAATGGCCTCTTACCAAGATAGAACAGCAAAGTATTTTAATAAAAAAGTGAGGACACAAAGATTTAGGGCTGGAGACCTTGTCTTAAGAAGGGCAGAAGCAGCATGTCATGCTCCGGGCAAGCTAGGACCAATTTGGGAAGGGCCCTTCGAAGTTATACGACAGGTTCGAGGAGGTGCGTACAGTTTAAGGGATACATCAGGAAGATCACCTCCAATACCATGGAACGCCGAAAATTTAAAAATATATTACAAGTAATCAATTTCCAATAGTCAGGCCTGTATGCTAAGGTTCACGTTTTCAATTCTCGGGCCTGCGTGTCAAGTCTTATTTTTGTTTGTCAGGCCTGTGTGCCAAGGTTCACGTTTTCAGTTGTCAGGCCTGCGAGCTAAGTCTGTTTTCAAAATACAATAAGAATTCAGCTATTCATTGAAATCTGATCTCACTATCAAAAGCCTAGCCCCGAGCAAGCACTGCTTACTCCACGCAAGCATCAAAAGTCTTGCGCCGTGCAAGCACTAAAAGTCTTGTCCCGTACAAGCACTCAAAAAAGCCTTGACCATACAACATACTCAAGCATAAACCGTTATCGTAATGCCCAATGACGTATAAAAGTCCTCCATCTTTTTAGGCAAATCCCTCGAGGATGTCACATGAGTACATTACTTCTCTTTAAGTTAATGTGCTCGAGGTGTGAAATCCTTGAGAATATATTAATCTCTTGATAATGTCACATGAGTACATTACTACTTTTTAAGTTAATGTGCTCGAGGTGTGGAGTCCTCGAGAATATATCAATCCCTCGAAGATGTCACATGAGTACATTACTACTTTTTAAGTTAATGTGCTCGAGGTGTAAAGTCCTCGAGGATATATCAATCCCTCGAGGATGTCACATGAGTACAATGCTACTTTTTAAGTTAATGTGCTTGAGGTGTGAAATCCTCGGGTATCTTCTTTAAAGTTAATGTGCTCGAATTATGGAGTCCTCGAGTATATTCTTTAACGTCGCATGAGTACATTACTTCTCTTTAAGTTAATGTGCTCGAGTTATGGAGTCCTCGAGTATCTCCTTAAGTTAATATGCTCGAGTTGTGGAGTCCTCGAGTATATTCTTTAAAGTTAATATCGCATGAGTAGTTACTTTTCAGTTTGTTTGCTCGAGATGTTTGAAGTCCCAGGGGTTGGGATGACTAATTTGAAGATTCGTGACTATAAGGCAATAAATTAACACAATCATCGATCAAAAAACTTGTTCAAAAATTACAGAAGATCTGGGTGGGGGGAAGTCATCCAATATGGCCAAGAGGAGAGTCGAGATTGTTGATGTCAATCTCAACGTCGTCCTCAAGACCCTCCTCGTCGTCTCCACCTGATCCTCCTCCATCTTCGGAACCTGAGAGCTCCAAAGTATCAACAATGGAAGGCACTGTCTTCAGGTCATTCGGAGTGACGTCAGGTGACTTCAGACGGAGAAAGGCCCGGGCCTCTTTCAGAGCATGGACGTACGCCCCCGACGCGTACTCCTCTTTTATCTTGTCACAAACCTCGGAGGTTTTAAACTCCTCCCAAGCCTTCTCCTTGACATCCGCGAGCTTGCGCTCAAAACCCTTTGTCTTCTGGACAAGCTCAAGCCTCACACCCTCAACCTCATCCTTTGCCACATTAAGGTCATCCTTGGCCTTAGCAGCCTCCCTTCTCGCGTTATCACGCTCCTTTAATAAAACCTCGACCTGAGCCTCGAGGTCTAGAATCCTCCTGTCCTTGGAGGCCATGGACGTCTCCACCCCAGCTACCCTCTTGGCCTCCTCGAGCCCTTGAAGAGAAAGCCCTCGAGCTACACTCAACATTTGAAAAAAAAAAAAGAGAAAATGTCTAAGTATTAATCTCGATGACAAAACTAAAGGCTGAAGTCAAATGCTCGAGAATTACCTTCACAGTAAGACTCTCGAGGACCTTCATCCTATCCTCGAGCTTCACCTCCTCCTTGTATTTGATCACAAGATCAGGAGCGAGGTGGCAACTCTCAAAGTCTCCGGTAAGAACCGGGTCATCCTCAAGGTCGACCACTTCGGAAGGAGGCCGAGGAGTAATGACCTGAGGAGTAGGAGATCTGAGGCTCAGCTACAAAGGGGTCGAGACTTGAGGTTGTGCTCGAGATGTTTCACCAGGCCCCCTCACACCCTCAAGGGTTTCTCGAGGCCTCTTCTTGCCTTTCTTCTTCGGGGGCTGCCCCTGTGGATGGGCATCAGTCCTCGTGCAGACAAAGTTTCAAAGGGCTCGAGGATCAAACGATATGCCTGCAAGATTTACAACACTTTAGAATGAGCACAAGGTCAAGCTATTTTGCAAAAAAATATAGGAACATCCCTACCCTCGACGCCTCTAATATTTGTCAGGTCTATAACCTCTTCCCCAATCTCCTTCATCGTCAAGAAAAGGGGGCTGAGCCCCACTAGCATCCTCCTATGCTCTTCCAACACATCTGGATACACCTTGCCCTCACAGAACTTCTCGGCGTTGGGGATTCTCCAATCAAGCCAGAAAGGAAGGTCAAGTTCTTGGGCTATTACATAAAACCACCCCTCCCTCCACCCCTTTAGAGAGCTCGCCATCCTCGGGACCTTAAAACCCCCTATCGTCAAGAGATAGCCAAAACAAGTGTATCGAGGATGCTTCTTAAGCTCGAACGCTAATTTACAGAGGCCAATGTTGGGCTTGATACCTAAGTATCTACATGCTATGAAAAAATATACGAGCATTCTCTAGGCATTGGGCGCTAACTGCCCCCGGCACATGGAGTGCTCGACTAATAGAGCAATGAAAAAGGGGTGAAGGGGCCACCTAAAGCCAGCCTTAAGGGTCTCCCTAAAAATAACAAACTCCCTTCGTCGAGCTCGAACAATCCTATCCTTGGGGCCAGGAAATCTAACATCGCAAATAGGCATAATACCATATTCCCTAGCTGCAGCTATAGCTGAGTGCTCTTTTAGCCTACAGGGTTCGTCGGGATACTCAAAGATCATATTAACCTGGGCCTCGGGAGTAGCCTCTAGGGGAATAGCCGTCGGTATTATTGACGTTCCTACGTCCTCGCTACTACTCGAACTACTGGATGAATCTCGACCCTCACTACTCGACATCATTTAACAAACTAAAGACCTAGCTTATGGAATAACTTAGAGTCTCGAGCCTTACCTGGAGTTTTCGACGACTTGAGAAGTTCCCAAAGTATTTCTCTCGAGCACGACCTCGCAGAACTCAGATTTACAGTGGGTAAAAGTGAAAAATGAATGTAAGAACAGCAGTATTTATAGGTGAAAACGATGGGAGGCCAAATGTCGCTATCTACGACCGTTCACGAAGACACGTGTCACAAATTCAAACCCATTCTCTGCAACGGTCATATCAATACTGACCTCTATCGTCAGCTATCACTTCTCGACGAAGCTTCCTGAAGTGACATAACTCATGTGTACCACATCCTAAGAGCTCGATCTCTAGGAGGAGTGCACGGGGGCCAGTGATGATGCCAATATTAGTATTCCTCGAGGACTCCATATGTGCTCCAACTCACTTTTTTGCCATATGTCCTCGGGATCTTCCGAGACCTCGAGGTATTTTGGTCCTCCATGAAACTCATACGAATGTTAACATCAACCTCTAAGTCCTCGAGAATAATCCTCGGGACATACTCCACTAACAGACCTTCTAGACCTAGGTGCCTAACAAACGAACACCTAAGAACTCTATATCAACTCTTATACTACTTGTCAGACAATTCCATTACGAGTAGGACATTCCTTATAAATAGGATTCCATTGAATAGAAACATCCAACCAGCACAATCCTACTAGGAGTGCACTACCTACGCCTATAAAAGTAGAATCTCGGGCCATTATTTAGGTACATTTTTCATTGTTCTCCAATTTATAGTCTCACGCTTATAATTTCCTTTCTGACTTAAGCATCGGAGGGGTGACGAGAACATGTCTCGTTGCCTTTGTTTCAGATATCGGAAGATTTCGATCATGCTCAATTCAAATCATCGAGCTCGAGAAATATACAGGTACGATTTTTGATAACATCAATAAGTATTCCATAAAATCGACAAATGTCATGAAGGTATACTGCCAATTACTCAAAATGAAATAAAGCAAAAGCGATGTCGGAAAAACATTGAAAGAAACCTCAAATAATTATTTTTGGTCGTACTTTTTGTCCATGGTTTTTGCAGAAATTCCCTGCAGAAAGAAAAGAATCAATCCCTCCACGTCGAACTTTAATTTTTTTATTAATTCACTTCTCGTCATTCAAAAATCAAGATTCAGTACTTATCACTTTTGTCGTAGGAATTTGGGTAATAAAGAAGAAAACTTTGACTATTTTATTGAGATTGAGCGAATATATTTCCATGTTGGCATAAAGAAAAAGTATAATTTTAATAAATTTTGATAAAAGTTATTAAAATATATAATTGAAAGTTAATAAATATTTTATGGAATATATAATTAAAATTAATTATTAATTATTAATTTATATTGTTAGCAACTTTTTAAGCCACACAAAATGGAGATTAAGTCCATGTTTGGTTCTCATTTTTTTCCATTAAAATGAAAAATATGATCATTATTTATCACATCAAGCCACTAAATTTGAATTTCTATCTCTTGTGTGAAATCCATAATGATTATATTTTTTATTCTTATTCTTACAAAAATAGAAATAAAAGCCCTCTAAAAATATGTTTGACATCAAAGTAATAAAAAAATCATTGAAGGGAAAAATAAGTTAATTTTTTTATAAATAACTTTCAATTAATATTACATTGCGTGGTAGATAGGTATTCAATTAATGTGAGGCACCGAGTTTTCAACAAACCATTTTCTTTACTCAACCACAGATGCTACGTGCCACTACCGCCTGCGGACACTCGATGAACCTCTAAACCGCCAACCATTTTCTAATTTTATATTGGAAAAAATTGTCGCAAACCCTAGCCGGCCGGAGCCAGGTGTGAGATCTTATATTGAAGAAATTGTCCCATCCCTATCCCGGGTCAGGAGTGAGTCGTGACTCATCGTCGATGTCATCATCCACAAATCCTTCTCCATTTTCTCTGTTTGATTTCGTTGACAATCTGCAGCTCAAATCCCTAAAATCCCTAACAATCCAGGAAGAAAAATGATGATACCTTCAGAAATCGTTACAGATATTATCTCGCGCTTACCAGTGAAATCCCTTTTGCGATTCAAGTGTGTATCTAGATTATGGTATTCGATTATAGACAGCCCAGATTTCGTCAAAATGCACTTGCGTCGATCTACGACAACAAACTCAAATCAGAGGCTAATTCTTGAAGGCCTGGGGCTCTATTCCGTAGATTTGGATTCACTTGACAAAGCCCATGTCGTGAAGCCCCCGTTTTATTACAAGAGTGTTGATGGCATATCCAACTCTTGCAATGGGTTAATTCTCGTGATGAGTGATCCTCCTGTTTTGTGGAACCCTTTTTCCACAAAGTTCCGGATTTTACCTGACAACCCGATCGAGTATCCAACTCCTCTGTTGTGTTTTTCGAAGGTTATTTATGCGCTCGCTTATGATTCGAGAAAGGATGATTATAAAGTTGTTCGGGTTGTTGAATTTAGGAACAAAACTAGTCATATGTGGGAATGCTCTGAGGTTGAGATTTATAGCATGAAATCGAATTCTTGGAACAGGATCGAGGGTTTTCCTTATCCGCTACCCTTTTTGAAGGGAAACTGGGGAGTACATGTCAATGGAGCGTTGCATACACTTGTGGAGGATTATTTCCACGTTTATTCGGAAAAATCAATTAGAATCATGGCTTTTAGTGTTGAGAGCGAGAAACATTATGAGGTGATGCTGCCACCGAATTTTGGAATCAAGAATGTTAAAATGAAGTTGGATGTGCTAGGAGGGTGTCTTTGTCTAGTTTGCACTAGCAAGTCTCGTGCTAATGTATGGGTGATGAAGGAATATGGAGTTGAGGAATCTTGGATTAAATTGATATCAATTAATTCTTCAACAATTGACCCTGATGACATTTTGCAGCCTTTTGCTTATTTGAAGCCATTGGCTTATTCGAAGAACGGCGAAAATGTTCTCGTGACTTATGATGACAAAAGGCTTGTTTGGTATAATTTGAGAACAAAAACTATCAAGAATGTCTCTGTTAGTGGGTTACCTTTTGTGTTTTTTCCCGAGGTTTGTGTAGAAAGCCTTATTTCTCCTTGTGGCCCAGCCCCGAGGGAAGTTGATGGGGTCAAGAGAAATGGAAAAGACAAAGCGAAGGAAAAGAAAACTAAGAAGAATCGGTAAATTATTAACTCTATATATTTAGTATTGACTTGACACAAGTCAATTTATTTAAATGTTTTTTTTTTTTGTCTAATCTTATCTAGTGTTGACTTGTACTAGGTTTATGGAGTCAATGACATATTAGTCTTTTAGTTTCAAGCTGTAGATTGATTTTATTTGTAGTTTATCTCTTTAGTTGCTTAATGTTGGGAATCTCCTTCATGTAAAAATTACAGATTTTCGGTGACCACATTTAATTGCATTGGAATATGTAAAATTTGTTGATTAATATAATTTGAACAAGTAAAACATATTCTGTCTGCATCTATACGGATTTTACTGAGCCTGAAATGTAATTCATGTTTCTATATACGGCTGATGAAGGAATCTGGAAGTGGAGGAATCTTGGACTAAATTGATATCAGTTAGCTGGTCCCCAACTACCGGAAAATAATTTGAAGCTTTAGCTTATCTGATGCTGTTAACGAAGGCCTAGTTTGGTATGGTTTGAGTTGAAAAACTATCTAGAATATCTCTCTTAAGTGGGTTGGCTTTGTGTTTTATTTTGAGGTTTGTATGAAAGCCATGTCTGCCCTCGTGGTCTGGTCCCACGGAAAGACGGACGGGGTCAAGAAACATAGACGAGAAAGGGGAGGGGAAAAAAGGGTAAGAATATGTGAAGTAGCTCCATATAAGACTTGAAGACTTGACATCATCTAGTCAATTTATTAATATGTCTCTGTCTTCTATGGTGTTAACTTGGACAATATTATGGAGTCAATGTCATATTATTTTTTATTTCACGCTGCAGATTGGTTTTATTTGTTTATATGCTGTTGGTTTCTTAGTATTGGAAGGCCCTTTGATGTAAAGATTACTGATTTTCTGCGCTTACCCATAAATTCCATATGTAAAAATTGTTGATTAATGCAAACTGGACGAGCAAAAAATCTTCTATCTGCATCGATACGGTTTTATTGAACCTAATTTGTAATTCTTTTCCTTGTTTACCAGAGATGATTTCCTGTCAGAGGGGTTCAAGTTGGTGCTGTAGATAAGGGACAAATTTCAATGAGGAAAAGAGGTGGGTCAATCGCTAAGCTCTTTTATGACGGTTATGTTGATTTTAAGAGTTTGTTTGGTACAGCTTAAAAGTCAATTAAAATCAAATTTTTGACCGTTATTTTATTATTCTAACAGTCATTTTTGAATTATTCTCTCATAGGTAGGACCCAGTTTATCCCTAAAGGTCAAAAAATCAATTATCAAAATCCCTACCAAACAAGCACTAAATATGCTTTCTCGATAGTTTCTTGGCTTTCCTAATGAAATCTATTTATTCTATTTTTTTACGTAGTTTGTACCAGTTCTTATAGGCATGGTAACGTCATGTCATCATCAGCATTACTTTCATTTTATCAACTAGATGCTAATTGCATCTTCAAATGTTCATGGGAGCTTCTCTTTGTTACTTGTTTTACTGATTGTGGAATAAAGCAGTTTATCTGCTTACAAGAAAAGGACAAACAAAGGTCCTAAAGTGAAGTGTGAAGTTGTATGAAGAAAAGTTCTATAAAGTAAGTTAGCTGCTTACAAGAAAGGACAAACAAAGGTCGTAAGCGAAGTGTGAAGTTGTATGAAGAAAAGTTCTATAAAGCAATTTATCTGCTTACAAGAAAGGACAAACAAAGGTCCTAAGCGAAGTGTGAAGTTGTATGAAGAAAAGTTCTATCTTTTCTCCTCCATCACTGATCAACTGTTATTAACTAAGCAGCTAAAAAATCATGTTTTTGTCGCATGAATTATGAATGTTGATTGCTCTGCATAGCATCAATGAGAAGACATATGTCTCATAAAATATGAATTTCCATGCTGCTTTGACTTAACTAGGTGAATGCATCATAGGTGTAAATATTAAGTTTTGAGGCCATGTTAATGCAAATGATTTTTTCTTCTTTGTTTTGAAATTTGGTTTTGAAGAAGTCCTGTTGGCTGAGTGAATGGTTAACTGGTATCAAAGTAAGCGATATGACCTGGGTTCAATTTGGGTTGTTTGTTAGTTCTGAAAAATTATTTTCAATAGATCCATATGATACTATCTTCACCCTTCTATTCAGTTCATCTAATTTATTTAGATTTTTTACCAATTTAACGGGGAAATGAGAAGTTGAAAAAAAAAAAGGGTTTAAAAACTACATGCGAGCTTTGTGTGTGGATTTAGCAGGGAAGCAGTAGAAAATGTACATGGTAGATCCTCTGATGAATAAATGCCATCTTACAGAATCAGTCTCCACTTATGGACATACTGAGCTAGAAGGAAAAGTAAACAAACATATTTTGGTAATTCTAAAGAGATGGTTTATAGTGAGTGTCCAAAACAAATTGAAAGTTTGATTTTAGCTGTGGAGCCAACATTTTTACATGGACAAAATGGAAGTATATGTGATTATTTGATTGGAGAAATAAGAGAATAATTTTCACGACCAAGTTGGCAAGAGCTGTTAAGTTGTTGTGCCTGATTGTATAATAGGGAGCCGTCGTAAGAGTTCTGTATCATCATTAGTAACGAGAACGAGAGAGAGAGAGAGAGGTTTTGAGCAATTTCTCTTGAAAAACCTTCTTTTCATCATAGTGAATTACTGCGGTAGGGGAAGAGGACATAGTCTCACATTGTGGTGAACCTCTATAAATCTTGTGTGCGTTTTTTTTTAATGCGATTTCATTGTTCTAGGTAGTGCAGAATTAGAATCTGTAATACTCCAACAGGGGCTAGTTTCTCTTGCCATAATTGTTCTCTTATTTATCTTATTTGTTTCCCACATGATAAAGTTGTCACATTCAAATTAGATAGTATCCACTTTGACGGTCAAGTCATTACTGTAGTTGAGGTTCATTGGAAGAAAAAAGAGGCAGGTCAGTCCCTCATCTCTTCGTACAACTTTTACTTGACTCTTAAAATATACTCTCTCGATTTTCTTTGTTATGCTGATGAATTCTGTTTATTTTATCTGTTATGTTGTTTATACTAGTTTCGTCGTGTCATTATAATCTTATTTTCGGTTAATCAACTTGATGCTAATTGCTAGCTTTTACTCTTCCTTGGAAAAAGGAAGAAGAAGAAGAAGAAGAGAAGGGAAGAATCATAATTGGCAGAAGAAGAAAGGAGATCAGTTTACGAGGATTGAAGACAGAACAACACCGAGGAAAGAAAGAAAATTACCGTAGTATATTGAGAGCTGCTCATGTATATTGTTGCACTGGGATTTTGCGTAGAAAGAGTTTGAGAAAGTTTCAATTAGTGAACTGTTTCTCCATCTTATGTGAATGTTACACAGCTGTGTGTTTTGCGTTCTACTCATATATTCTGCTGGGTTGGCTAGGGCGTTGTGCTATTTTTTGCCAACAAATAATTGACGGCAGACCGTCATGTTTCAAGTATGGGACCTTTTTTTTTTCTTTTTTTTGCCGAGTTCTATTTCAAGGTGAGGTAGAATTTGGTTATTATTATTGTTTTTTTTTTTTTTAATCATAGGAAGTAAAAAATACTTCTAGCTTTCCTTGTGGCGAGTATATGACACAATTAAACAAGATATAAATATGTCCTAAACTTCTGAACTATCGAGTTCGAGTGCATGCTTCTTAAAAAGTCTTAACAATCGAAATATTTTGACGATTATAATATGCATTTTTTTCATAAAACATCAAAACTTGACCCTGGATTGAAATTAGATTGTTGGAGCATAAATTTGGATTTAAATTGGTATTTTCGATATAATTTCTGCATCATCATTTACATTCCATGGATTTTAAGTTCAAGTTTTGCTTTAATGGAATATTTAAATTCAATTTTTAATATTTTTTGATGAAAAATGCAATATGCATTTACTTTGTATCTCTTCATTGCAAGGGTATTTTTACCACTTTGGAATCTAGATCTCTATTTTTATATCATCTTTGGATATGCTTTTAGCCGATTTTAATAAGGTTAATGAATGTATGATAAAAAGTTGATAAAAATTTTAAGTTTCATAATATGTGTGGTTGAAAATGAGTCTAAGATTACTTTAAGGGTCAAAATAGGGCTTAGAGCATCTCCAAAATGTTATCTATTTTTGAGTATATTTTATTATTTGGAGAGCATCTATAAATTTAGATAGTTAAAATTTAGATGTACTTTAATAAACTCTTTATATTTAATACTTAATTTTATTACTCTAAAAAAATCTTTATTATTTTTCTTCATCTTTTATTTTAACTAGTTTTTTTAAAAATTATTTTATTATTTTTTTACATTGAAAATTAAAACAATTTAAATGCATTTAATTAGAGAGTAAGTTTGGTTCTTTAAATTTAGAGAGTCAAACTTACTCTCTAAATTAAAATATTAATTTAAAAAGTCTCTATGGGCATGATTTTAAGAGTTTATTCTTTAAAATAGAAAAGCATTTCAAGTTTGAAGAGCCTCTTGAAAATGATCGTTGCTTAAATTACATTGTGCAATATCCCAAAATAGAAAATGGAATAAAGCAAAAGAAGGAAATGAATTCTCACCTATTAATTTGGTGGAAAATGGTTGAGGTGGCTTGAAAGTGGGAAAATGAATTGTCTAGAAAAATATTCCTGTCAAACATGCATTTTTGGTGGAAATTTCCATTTTTCATGGAGAAAGGGGCCTTGTCATACAGAGCCTAAGATTGAGTGAAGTTTTGATACATTTCTTGACGTATCTTGGGCTCCTTACCACCTAAATAAGTATTGATCTTCAATAACGAATGATATTATTCCTTTGATAAACACTTCTGTTGACCCCAAAAATATTGCCAACAGATATCGGACCTATCCGCGCACATGTAAGTCTAGTCCAACACGCTAAGACACATGGACGGTTTCAAATGGACAGATCAAGGGCATTGGAGCAATTCAACAGCGCGGGACAAGAACGTTCGGAATCCGACGAGATGTTTGCATGACGATTGTACAATAATTACCAATCGATATTTGTAGAATGCGAATATGAATTCGTATAGTATTATATTGCAAGACATTAAACAGGTTGTTGAATAAAGTGTGTTAAGAGCGTAAAGAATATGTGATCTTCGTTCTTGTATTGAATCTTGCATTATTCTTGTGAGAGGTGCATGGGGGGAGTATTTATAGTATTACAAGTTATATCGTGGCCTCGGTTGGGAGTATATGTGACATCATCTCATAAGTTTATATGTCAAATTATAAATATCACACTTGACTTCCTAGCCTGCTACACATTCATTAATCAGCGGCGACAAGACAAGACGCTTGCACTCTATGATGGGTGTCCCATCAATCGATCAGGAAGGATCCTTGTGTAAGATCGGATGTTTGGGAAGAAGTGCTGCCTAGGGCATCTGGGCCTCGATGTGATGGGCCTTGGAGTAAAGGGCCTCGACAAGAAAGACCACCTCGAACTATTCACTTCAACGTCAGCATTTGGGCCACGTCATGACTATTGTTTCGGTATGCTGGTTGACTTCTGTTGGTATGGGAGCCTTGGATAGGATGCCATGTGGTTCGGCGTCAGTGGATCATAGAGTATGGAGCAATCACTTTGGAGGAGAACCTCTTGTGCGCAGAAGTGTACAGGCGGTGGGGGGAATCTGTGATCCAGTTGAGGCATAACTCGCGATTTACCTCCTCCAAGGTTCTAGAGACAAGGGTCTTGGGGGTCCAGGATTTAATCTAGTGTAAGTTGGGATACTTTGATTAAAAAAAAAAAAAAAAAAAAAGTGATGTCTATACTTTTTTCCCATCTCTCTTCTTTTTAATTAAAATAATCCTAGTTGACCCCATCATATATCTTTTCTTTTGCTGTATTGAAAAAATGAAAATAACTTCAATCATCAAATCTATAAAAAAGCAAAAGATCATTTATAGATTACCGTGATTTCTCCATCATTGATCATACTTTTTCCCTGCGTCTTTTTCATAATTTTCTTGTCTGAAGGCGGGCATTCTCTCGACTTTCCCTACAGCACTAAAACAGTACCTTACACTCCTGGTTAAGAGCTGACCCTTGTTGTCACGTGGCATCACCTGCTGCCGACAGTCTTATCCTTCACAAATTTCACTGTTTCATTCAATTTACAATCTGCAATTCAAAACCTAACAGCTTTGAGCTTTAACAATCCAACTGCTGAATAATCGGCTTCATATATCATTCTTCGTGTTTTCAATCACTTCCTTGCTAGATCTAAGCTTAAACAACCCTGCAGAGAAAGAAAATGTTCCCTCCAGAAATTATAACGGACATCCTTTCACGCTTACCAGTTAAATCTCTATTGCGATTCAGGTGTGTCTCAACATCGTGGCGTTCTATAATAGACAGCCAAGATTTTGTCAAAATGCACTTGCATCAATCCATATCAACGAATTCCAATCACAGTCTCATTCTTGGAGGCCTGGGGCTTTATTCCGTAGATTTGGATTCACTCGACAGAGCCCACATCTTGAAACCCCCATTCTATTATAGGAGTTCTGACAGTATATCCAATTCGTGTAATGGGTTAATTCTTGCAATGAGTGAGCCACCTGTTTTGTGGAATCCCTTTTCAAGAAAATACAAGATTTTACCTGAGGCCCTGGTCGAGCATCCAACTCCATTATGTTTTTCTAAGGTTATTTATGGGCTTGGTTACAGTTCAAGAAATGATGATTATAAAGTTGTCCGGGTAGTTGAATTTAGGAACGAAGAGAGCCATATGTGGGAATACTCTGAGACTCAGATTTATAGCCTGAAATTGAATTCCTGGAACAGTGCCGAGGGTTTTCCTTATCCACTGCCCTATTTGAAAGGGAATTGGGGGGTGCATGTCAACGGGGCATTGCATACACTAGTGGAGGATTTTTTCCATCTATATTCGGACAAAACAATTAGAATTATGGCTTTTGGTGTTGAGAATGAGAACCATTATGAGGTCATGCTGCCACCGGAGATTAGGATCAAGGGTGTGAACATGAAGTTGGTTGTGCTAGAAGGGTGTCTCTGTTTAGTTTGTGCTAATAAGTATCGGGCTAATATATGGGTAATGAAGGAATATGGAGTAGAGGAATCTTGGACTAAATTGATATCAATTGGTTATGAAACGACAGATCCAGATGAGATGTTGAAGCCATTGACTTACTTGAAGCCTTTGGTTTATTCAAAGAATGGCGAAAATGTTCTTCTAAATTGTGATGAGAAAAGGCTTGTTTGGTATGATTTGAGAAGAAAAACTATCACCAATGTCACTGTTAGTGGTTTGCCCTTTGTGATATATCCTGAGGTTTGTGTTGAAACCCTTGTTTCCCCTGGTGGCCTTGTCCTGGAGAAAGTTGATGGGGTCAAGAAACAAGAGAAATTGAAGGAAAAGAAAACCCAGAAGAATAGGTACAACGACTCCATATAAGGGGATAATGACTTGACATTGTCTAGTCAATTTATTATGTGTATAACTCTGCCTTGTCTGGTGTTGACTTATACTATACTCATGGAGTCAATGGCATATTATTATTTGGTTTCAGGTCGCAGATTTGTTTTATTTGGTTTTTACGGCTACAAATTTTCTGCGTTAATTGGAAAGTTTTCATGGATGCAAGAAAAATTTGTAGATTAATGTAAATTGGTCAAGTAATAAATCTTCTCTCTGGATCGTACAGTTTTCATTGAACCTACATTTATCCCTTTTTTAGGGATGATTTCCTGTCAGAGAGGTTCAAGTTGGTGCTGTGAGCAGGGGATGAAATTGGATGGAACAGAAGAGGTACGTTAATTTCTCAGCTTTTACTACGTTGTTATAGAATACTCTCTTTCTCGAAAGCTTACTGGTATGCTAATGGATCCGGTTTATTATATTCTTATCTTCTTTATACTGTTAATAATTTGAATGGTCATTGAATCATACCAAATGCCACTATTTAATAATTGAGCTTAAAATTGTATTTCAATGACCACTGAGCTATGCATTATGTTATCCATCCATCACCCAAGTCAACACCATTTGCTGAACCTAATGAATTTTCCCATATGTTAAACAGATTTTTTTACATGGACCATATCCGACATCCTCCCAAATCAACGTAAGCAAAGTGTGTTTGCAAAATACCATTTAGGCCGCAATTTTCAACATCTTATTGAGGGAATAATAGGGCCTTCTTGAAGCAATAAAACGTTGAAAATCATGGCCCAAAATGCATTTTGCAAACACACTTTGCTTACCTGGATTTGGATGGATGCTTGATGCGGTTCATATAAGAAATCGGTTTGACACGTGGAAAGATTCGTTTTGTTCAATAAGTAGCGTTAATTTGAGTAATGAATAAGTAACATGGTGCTAGTTTAATAACCACAAAGATAGAATTTAATTTCAATTATTAAGTAGTAATGTTTGATATAGTTCAATAACCAATCAAATAATTGACCCAATGTTTATACTAGTTTCCATAGGCAGGGGTAGAGTTAGGAAATTCGTTCAGTATGGGCACAATTTAATCGAAGTTGAACTTTGAGTTTTTTGTCATAGATTTCATAATGATAAGAATATAAAACAATATTACAGCAATACTAAAAATGACATAACTTGAAAATTACACTTTCTCACAACTAAACAGAGAAATTTGTGATGACCTTTTTCAGCCGTAACGACAAATAATGCTAGAGTTGAAAAGGCCTTTTTTCTGGCCCATTAACAGAGAAATTTGTGAGGATCTTTCTCAGCCGTAACGACAAATAATGCTAGAGTTGAAAAGGCCTTTTTTCCTGCCCATTAACAATAAGGTTGTGTTTGATTGCCAATATTTTTCATTGAAAATATATTTTTTCCACCTAAATTCCTACTTTTGTACTGTTTGATTGACATTTTTTTCCATGGAGAATATTCTCATTTTTGACCATATTTTCCTCAAAATCAAAGAAAATATTTTCTTCATGAGGGAGTAAGATTTTATTTTCTAGGAAATCCACTCTCTCATCTACCTACCAACAAAAAACGAACAAGTATAATATTTTCTATGTTGACAATTTAATTAATCAAACACATTTTATAGACAATTTTAATACAAATAAATTTTAGGCAATTGAATTGATTCGAATTTATTTTCTTTCTATACAAATTTCATGCTTACAATCAAATGCACCCTAACTGAAAACCAGCAATAAGCAACACAGTTTCGAATCTTGCTAATCCACTTATCGTCGAACCTAAATTTCCCCAAGACATCATAAATGAATTATCACTAATCAATCTACCCTTCACAAATCCACTCATACTTGATAAGATCATTCTCGGTAGTAAAATTCCATACCTATTATTTGGGATCTTTGTAGCAAGTTTATTAAATAGATAACAAATGCTAGCAGGTCTGAATTCACCTCAGCTCCGAGCATTTTCTATCTTTGGAATCATTCCTGTTAATGTTGCAGTAATTCCTCGATCAAGCCCTTCTCCCTAAAAAAAAAAAAAAAGAATTCCAAAACAGCAAGCATTAAAACGTTAGAAATAGCGTTCCAACATGTTTGATAAAATAAAGCAGTACATCTATTTGGGCTAGCCACACTGCTTTGATCAATACAGAAGGCAGCCTCTTTTATCTCTTCTAACGAGGCATTTGGTCCAGCATCACCATCCACCAACAGCTTCTTAGTTCTGCCTGCAAATAAATTTCATAAGAATCACAATATTAATACATGATTTTAATGTTGGAATAATTAATAATTCCATATGTGGGCTTCACATTCGATTGTAAAATTTTACGGGTTAGATATATGGCTCATAATGATAATTGTATTTGGGTCAAATTTATTAAGTGATCAATTGGGCCTTTTACACTTTACGGGATGTAATTAATTTGATGTGGTAATTTAAAATATGTGGGCCGCAAATAAACCCTAATTAAAATTCTAGTCGTAATAGAACAGCTCAAATTATTTCCTATATATAAAGGCTAGGTCCCCCTCTCCTCTTCATATGTTTTATTGGCTTGTCCCATTAATAACTGATATTTTGTGAGGAGTAAGGAGAGGAAGATTTTGACTGCTATTACAACTACTATTCATATCAACAATGACTTCCGCAAGTATGAATTTGTTTCTATTAATTTATTATATGGTGATTCTTGATTCTTGGCATGATTACAAATAAATTTCAACAATTGGTATCAGAGCCTTCATGTTAAGATCAGAATCCCTAAATAAAATAATATTCTATCTCGTTTTTTCTGCTGGAATAATCAAAAGTTAGATTTTCATATGTTATTATTTTTTGGCAATTTGCGGGAGTTAATTCTTATCCTCCTCATCAACAACTTGATTCTATATACACGCATTACACTGTTTAGCACTTGCACATCATTTCCCTTTTGGTTTAAAATTGGCACAGCAAAACCCTGATTGCGCCGCCATCACCATGTGACCCCTACACCCATGTATTTTTATTTATTTATTTATTTTTCTTCTTTCCCATTCTCCAGTAACTTTGAACATTCCCACTGCTTGAAGGTTCTAGCCCGTTAATGGCGATGAAACACTTATCCAAATTTCTCTCCCCTTCCATACCCAGTTAAAAATCAGAGGTCCAAAACTCTACGTTACTCTGCAACTGTAAATAAATAATCAACTTGGGCGATAAAGAAGAGTTTTCACCAATTCCTTTTTCATTTTTTTTTTCACGCTCGTGGTTTCTTGATTATACATTCAGAAACCGAAACCCAATCCCTATGTGGAGTGATAATTAATTTGAGGGTTTTCTTTAATTTCTCGGGGTCTAGATGTTTGGTGAAAAATTACCCAGTAGGAAGCTCTGGGCACAAACACTAATAAAATATATATTGATTAATTGATGACTTATATATTGATTTTCGGTTCAAATCAAATCAAAATAACAAATAAAAGAAAAGAGAAACGAAACGAAAGGCTTTTGGGCTTCACTTTCTTTTGTCAACTACTGAATCGTTGATCAATGATCAATTTGACTTCTTCTTCATGGCTTCACTAGTTCAAGGTTTAGTGGTAAGTGGTTCAAGCTTTCTTCTTCCAAAAAGGAATCGCTACTGCATTGTCGTTGATGGTGTCGACAAAAGAAAGGCATCACCGTGCTTAGAGAGACGAGAGCGAGAGCCTGATGAATGGTCACGTGTTGCCTTCATCCATTTGTTTCACTCTCGTCACATATCGGCATATGAATGGAAGAATGGGTACTAGTGAGAGATTGAGATATATTAAAGGGAAAAATTCAAAAGAGGTGAAGTATCACTTATTTCAAAACTAAGAATAAAGGTTTCAAATTTCTAAAATCAGATATTTATTAAATTTTATTTATAATTTAATTAATTAATTACATATTTGATTAATAATATATTAGGATCACAGATCTATACAATTTGGTCATGAATTAACGATTTAGTTAGTCGTATATTATTTTTCACTCACAAATAAAATTTTTTATATGTGATAAATTATTTTATAATTACAATTTAAAAATTTTATAGGTCACAATTTGTTCAATTGGTCACAAATCAAAAATTTATATGTCACAATTTATTTATCGATTACAAATCATAAAGTCATAACTTATTCTACAGTTACAAATTATCAAATTATCGATCACAAATTAACAAACTTTTAGGTCACACTTTATTTCTTGGTCATTCATTGATCACATATTGTTTAATGGTCACTGATTAACCAATTTAATGGTGTCAAAGTTAATCAAATAATTTGTGACCACTATCTCACCACTACCTCCAGTGGCACCATCACTACCACCAGCGTCGTTGCTAGAACCACAAACATCACCTTCCGACAGTAACACCACCACTTCAAACAAATCAACCTATCGCAGAAAATACCACCACATCGTTACGCTAGATTCATCAACACAAAAAAATATTATTGTAGTCACTGCTACGACCACAAATTGAGACCCAAATTTCCTAAATCTCTCGTCATCCACTGCAACCTGTACCATCTAGATTGTAACCACCACTGCCAATGCCAACATTGTTTGTGACACCACAATATCCACCCCTCCATCACTAGATCCACCAGCAAAAATCACCTCAAAATTCCAACACGAAAATATAGAAAAAAAAAATCACCACTATCCAACACAGCACTGTTATCTCTACATCCCCACTCCTACCATCATAGTCGCCGCCACCACCACCACCACCACCGCTGTAGCCGATCCACAACTATAGCCATTGCAACCACCATCTCACCATCACAGCCCACCAAAAATCCTCTCCATCTCGACAAGACCATCCCCACCAAAAATTCCCAATCCTTCTTAGCCTCTGCACGCAATATTGTTAGTAGCGGAGCAGCTGCAACTCACCTTCATGCCGACAATCAAACGCAAACAAGCAGTGGTGCTACACACAGTGAAGGCGTCGCTATGCACTGATGGTACATATTAGCTCGACATTGACCCGTATATAGATCGGTAATGGCCACATGACCTCTGCCTGTGGCATTGTTGGCAGCCAAGTGGCCACAACATGCTACTCTTCGACGATGTCGTTGGATAAGAGAGAGAGAGAGAGAGTAAGGCGAGAGAATATGGAGAGATGGAGTGAAATGAATTTTAAGTTTAGGGAAGAAATTGGGGTGCGTGGGTGGGAATGGATTATTTTAATTTTATAATATTATTATTAATATTTAAAATTTTAATTATTATCTTATTTTTGAAAGAAAAACTTGTAATTCTTAATTATGAATTGAGATTTTTAAAACACTTAGTATATGTAATTACCACTATATTAAATTAGTCATTTTGGTTTCCTCCTGGGTTCGGTAATATAAAAAAAATAATAATAAATAAAATATATTAGGTTGAGCCCAAAAGTTCAATGCAAGGATCCGCCCCTTCTCATAGGGATAACAACGAATATAAACATTTAGTCATGCTGCATCAAAATCATTGTTTTTAGTTTATCAACCTGATGTTAATTGTTAACTTAACTTTTCACGAAAACTAATATTTTTTTACCTTTCTTATTGCCTTTGTTCAAGCTCTATTGCTTAAAACTCATTTTCAAGCATACATTTTTCCGAAACTTATTGCCCTTGGCAGACACTAGTTTCTTTGGCTAGAATTGGTTTATTTCCTGCATGATAAATCATCACATTATAATTATGAAGTATCCATCTGCATTTTTCTTCCCTGTCATCTTCAATTTCCTACTTATTCTTATAATTTACTTTTAGTTTTTATCTTTTCTTGCATGTCTATGATGCCCCTTTTTTTTTAGACATCTTGC